AAAGCACATGAAAGGGGTTTTTGAACTGTAGAAAAAGCTTGCTTCTGTGATGGCAATAGCAATATAAAGGCTAGTATGGTGTAGTCCCACTTTATATGAGAGGAGGATTTAGTTCCGCTTTATAGGATAGAAGAGTTTTGTTCTATTTTAAAAGATGGGAGGGTTTAGTTCTGTTTTAAAGGATAGAAGGGTTTAGCTTTGCTTTATACGGTAGGAGGGTTTCGTTCTTTTTTTTTTTTACTACAGGAGGGTTTAGTTCTGCTTTATATGATAGGAGGGCTTAGTTCTGCTGTGAAGGATAGGAGGGTTTAGTCCACTGTAAAGGATAGAATGGTTTAGTTCCGCTATACAGGATAGGACGTTGTAGTTCCACTTTATTTGATAGGAGGTTTCGTTCTGTTGTAAAGGATAGGAGGATTTAGTTCTTTATAGAATAGGAGGTTTTAGTTCTGTTTGATAAGATAGGAGGGTTTGGTTCTTCTTTATATGATAGGAGGGTTTGGTTCCGCTGGAAAGGATAAGAGGGTTGGTTCCCCTTTATAGGATAGGAGGGTTTCATTCTGTTTTAAAGGATAGGAAGGTTTGGTTCCGCTTTATAGAATAGGAGGATTTAATTTTGTTTTAAAGAATAGGAGGGTTTGGTTCCACTTTATAGGATAGGAGGGTTTAGGTCTGCTGTAAAGGATAGGAGGGTTTAGTTCCACTTTACACAATAGGAGGGTTTAGTTCTGCTTTATAGGATAGGTGGGTTTGGTTCTGCTTTAAAAGATAGGAGGATTAGTTCTGATTTAAAGGATAGGAGGGTTTGGTTCCGCTTTAAATGAAAGGAGGGTTTAGTTTCACTGTAAAGGATAGGAGGGGTTGGTTCCACTTCATATGATAGGAGGGTTAGTTCTCATTTAAAGGATAGGAGGGTTTGGTTCCACTTTAAATGATAGGAGGGTTTAGTTTCACTGTAAAGGATAGGAGGGTTTGGTTCCGCTTTATATGATAGAAGGGTTTAGTTTCACTGTAAAGGATAGGAGGGTTTGGTTCCACTTTATATGATAGAAGGGTTTAGTTTCACTGTAAAGGATAGGAGGGTTTGGTTCCACTTTATAGGATAGGAGGGTTTAGGTGTGCTGTAAAGGATAGGAGAATTTAGTTCCACTTTATACAATAGGAGGGTTTAGTTCTGCTTTATAGGATAGGTGGGTTTGGTTCTGCTTTAAAAGATAGGAGGATTAGTTCTGATTTAAAGGATAGGAGGGTTTGGTTCCGCTTTAAATGAAAGGAGGGTTTAGTTTCACTGTAAAGGATAGGAGGGTTTGGTTCCACTTCATATGATAGGAGGGTTAGTTCTCATTTAAAGGATAGGAGGGTTTGGTTCCACTTTAAATGATAGGAGGGTTTAGTTTCACTGTAAAGGATAGGAGGGTATGGTTCCGCTTTATATGATAGGAGAGTTTAGTTTCACTGCAAAGGATAGGAGGGTTTGGTTCCCCTTTATATGATAGGAGGGTTTAGTTTCACTGTAAAGGATAGATGGGTTTGGTTCCCCTTTATATGATAGGAGGGTTTAGTTTCACTGTAAAGGATAGGAGGGTTTGGTTCCCCTTTATATGATAAGAGGGTTTAGTTTCACTGTAAAGGATAGAAGGGTTTGGTTCCCCTTTATATGATAGGAGGGTTTAGTTTCACTGTAAAGGATAGAAGGGTTTGATTCCGCTTTATATGATAGGAGGGTTTAGTTTTCTCTGTAAAGGATAGGAGGGTTTGGTTCCCTTTATATGATAGGAGGGGTTAGTTTCACTATAAAGGATAGGAGGGTTTGGTTCTGCTTTATATGTCAGGAGGGTTTAGTTTCACTGTAAGGGATAGGAGGGTGTGTTTCAACTTTATACAATAGGAGGGTTTAGTTTCACTGTAAAGGATAGGAGGGTTTGGTTTCCTTTTATACAATAGGAGGGTTTAGTTTCATTGTAAAGGATAGGAGGGTTTGGTTTCCTTTTATATGATAGGAGGGTTTAGTTTCACTGTATAGGATAGAAGGGTTTAGTTTCACTGTAAGGGATAGGAGGGTTTGGTTCCCCTTTATATGATAGCAGGGTTTAGTTTCACTGTAAAGGATAGGAGGGTGTGTTTCAACTTTATACAATAGGAGGGTTTAGTTTCACTGTAAAGGATAGGAGGGTTTAGTTTCCTTTTGTACGATAGGAGGGTTTAGTTTCATTGTAAAGGATAGGAGGGCTTGGTTTCCTTTTATATGATAGGAGGGTTTTGTTTCACTGTAAAGGATAGAAGGTTTAGTTTCACTATAAAGGATAGAAGGGTTTAGTTTCACTGTAAATGATAGGAGGGTTTAGTTTCACTGTAAAGGATAGAAGGGTTTGATTCCGCTTTATATGATAGGAGGGTTTAGTTTCTCTGTAAAGGATAGGAGGGTTTGGTTCCCTTTATATGATAGGAGGGGTTAGTTTCACTATAAGGATAGGAGGGTTTGGTTCTGCTTTATATGTCAGGAGGGTTTAGTTTCACTGTAAGGGATAGGAGGGTGTGTTTCAACTTTATACAATAGGAGGGTTTAGTTTCACTGTAAAGGATAGGAGGGTTTGGTTTCCTTTTATACAATAGGAGGGTTTAGTTTCATTGTAAAGGATAGGAAGGTTTGGTTTCCTTTTATATGATAGGAAGGTTTAGTTTCACTGTATAGGATAGAAGGGTTTAGTTTCACTGTAAAGGATAGGAGGGTTTAGTTCCCTTTATATGATAGAAGGGTTTAGTTTCACTGTAAGGGATAGGAGGGTTTGGTTCCCCTTTATATGATAGCAGGGTTTAGTTTCACTGTAAAGGATAGGAGGATGTGTTTCAACTTTATACAATAGGAGGGTTTAGTTTCACTGTAAAGGATAGGAGGGTTTAGTTTCCTTTTGTACGATAGGAGGGTTTAGTTTCATTGTAAAGGATAGGAGGGCTTGGTTTCCTTTTATATGATAGGAGGGTTTTGTTTCACTGTAAAGGATAGAAGGGTTTAGTTTCACTATAAAGGATAGAAGGGTTTAGTTTCACTGTAAATGATAGGAGGGTTTAGTTTCACTGTAAAGGATAGGAGGGTTTCTTTCAATTGTATACGATAGGTGAGATTAGTTCCGCTTTATAGAATAGGAGGCTTTAATTCTGTTTTAAAGGATAGGAGGGTTTGACTCTGCTTTAGCCTAAGTTCACAATATGAATTGCACAGGAAGCGCATCGCATTCTTGTGCAATTCACATGTGATTCAGTGCAGTGCAATTTCAGCCCTTTCATTTTCAATGGGCTGAAATCGCAGCACATCGCACCAAGTAGTAAATGCACCAATTTTAAAAATGCACTGCAACCAGATCAAATGGTAATTTTGTACCATGCAATCCTGTGGGGAAAATGCACTGCATTTGTGTCCTGCATTTGGGGTGTCGTTAACATTGCACTAACACTCGCTTCAGATTGCAAGGGCAGTGTGGTTTAAACACGGTGCAGAAAAAGCACATTCATTGCGTGTTTCCAGCACCACATTCTAGTGTGAACCGGGGCTTATAGGATAGGAGGGTTTAACTCCATTTTAAAGTGGAAATTCACTCTCTCAATCAACATGGACTATTTCTAATCCTTAAGCTTCTAGTATTAGTAAATAGATAGGAAAGTATATGATATTTACTTGTTTTAACCTTTTTTTTTGCATTCCATTTACTTCCTGGTTTCCATGCTTAGGCAAATGATGTCATACTTCCCAGGAGTATTCAGGAGGGGAGGGTTTTCAGGACGGATGGATTCCAGGAAGTAATTGCAACACGAATCATCTGCCCTAACTCAAGATGGCCACTGCCAGAAATGCAAGGAGGTGTTTTTCAAAATGATTTCTCAGCAGAATAAAGCAAGGAGACGTGGATGGATGAGTTGGTTCTAAATATTAAAAACAAATTTTATAGCATTTTTGGCTTGCAGTACTCAGATGCAGTGCTTTAAAGATCAGGTGAAGTGCTTAGAGCTTTCTAATTATTATTATACAGGATTTCTATAGCGCCAACAGTTTGCGCAGCACTTTACAATATAAGGGAGACAGTACAATTATAATACATTTCAGTACAGAAGGAATAGGAGGGCCCTGCTTGTGGAGCTTACAATCTAAAGGGGAGAATTGGCCCATCATGCCAGAAAACGTGTTGCAAACACTTTGTTGAATCCCTCCGTTTATTTGCTCTGTACAGTACTCAAACTAAAAACAGAAAAGTCTGTATGTGTCGGATTTGTATAGATTCTGCCTGGTCATATGGAACATGCTAACCACAGCTGCTTGGTTCCAACCCGTACCTCATAAAATGTTGAAACAATTACATAAAAAAAAACACGCCCCTAACATACTAAAGCAGAACCAATGACATATTATGGATGAAAAAAATAGGAATACCGCTCTTTTCCAGAAGTGGCTTGCCCTCAGTAAAGATGTCGGCGGCGGCCTCAGACCGGGGGCTCGGCGTGGTGGCGCAGGACGCACGCAGGAAGGGGTGGAGACCTTGGGCTAAGGCAGAGTGAGTGAGAGAGAACGAGAAGGAGAGGGAAGCTGAGGGGCGAGCAGAGCGGAGGAGGGAGAGGAGTGGCAGAGAGCGGGTGACTGAAAGGCGGCCAGCCCGCAGGGTGGTGGAGGAGGAGGCGGAGGGAGTCCCGGCTCGGGGCCTGAGGGACAGACGGACGGAAGCCGAAAGGCGCCAGTGGCAGAAGGCGGCTGTAAGTGCGGAGGAGGAGAAGATGGCGGACGGGGATAGCGGCAGCGAGAGAGGGGGGGCAGCAGCGGCGGAGGAGGGGGAGGCCCCGGCAGCTTCCAGCAGCACATGTCCCGGGACCAGGAGACCCAGGAGCTGGCCTCCAAGCGGCTGGACATCCAGAACAAGCGCTTCTATCTGGACGTCAAGCAGAACGCCAAAGGCCGCTTCATCAAGATCGCCGAGGTGGGCGCCGGGGGCTCCAAGAGCCGCCTCACCCTCTCCATGGCCGTAGCCGCCGAGTTCCGCGACTACCTGGGCGATTTCATCGAGCACTACGCCCAGCTGGGCCCCAGCAGCCCCGAGCAGATCGCCCAGTCCTCGGGGGAGGACGGCATGGGAGGAGCCGGGGGCCCCCGCCGGGCCCTGAAGAGCGAGTTCCTGGTCCGCGAGAACCGCAAGTACTACCTGGACCTGAAGGAGAACCAGCGCGGCCGCTTCCTGCGCATCCGCCAGACCATCAACCGCGGCCCGGGCTTCAGCGGAGGAGCTGGCGGGGGTGCCGGCCTGCAGAGCGGACAGACCATCGCCCTCCCCGCCCAGGGGCTCATCGAGTTCCGTGACGCCCTGGCCAAGCTGATCGACGACTACGGCGGGGAGGACGACGAGCTGGGCCTGGGCTCCGGAGGAGGAGGCGGCGGTGGGGGAGGAGGAGGGGCGGCAGGCGGAGGAGGCCTGTACGGGGAGCTTCCCGAGGGCACGTCCATCACTGTGGACTCCAAGCGCTTCTTCTTCGATGTCGGCTGCAACAAGTATGGCGTGTTCCTCCGGGTGAGCGAGGTGAAGCCCAGCTACCGCAACTCCATCACCGTGCCGCTCAAGGCCTGGGCCAAGTTCGGGGGAGCCTTCTGCCGCTATGCCGAGGAGATGAAGGAGATCCAGGAGCGCCAGAGGGACAAGATGTACGACCGGCGGGGCCCCGGAGGAGAGAGAGGAGGAGGAGGGGGCCTGAGCTCCGGGGGAGGAGAAGACTCCGAGACAGAGGACGTGGATGACGACTGAACCCAGAGAGAGAGAGGGGCCTGGGGAACTACAACTCCCAGCTACAGGGGGAGGGAGGTGGGGGCTAGAAATCCCAGCAATAGGGGGAGGGTGGGTTAGAACTCCAAACAATAGAGGGGGGGGCTACTACAACTCCCAGCAATGGGACGACTCCTTGCATGGGGGCACTATAACTCCTAGCAATGAGGCTCCTTACGTGGGGGGAGGGGGACTACAACTCCCAGCAATAGGAGGAGGGGGTTATAACTCCTAACAATGAGGCTCCTTGCATGTGGGGAGGGGAACTACAACTCAGAAGTGAGACTCTTTGGGGGGGCAATTACTCCCAGCAATAGGGGGAGGAGTTATAACTCCTAGCAATGAGGCTCCTTACAGGGGGGAGGGAAACTACAACTCCTAGCATTGGGACTCCTTCCCACATGGGGGGACAATAGGGGGAATAACTCCTAGCTGTGAGGCTCCTTACATGTGGGGAGGGGAACTTGAACTCCCAGCAATGGGACTCCTTCCCACGTGGGGGGACTATAATTCCCAGCAATAGGGGGAGGGGTTAAAACTCCCAATAATAAGACTCCTCACGTGGGGGGACTACAATTCCCAGCAATAGGGGGGGTGGTTATAACTTCAAACAATGGGGTTCCTAACATGGGGGAAGGGAACTACAACTCCCAACAATAGGTGGAGGGGGTTATAATGCCTAGCAATGGGACTCCTCCCATAGGTGAAGTCTGCAACTCCCAGCAATAGGGGGGGGGGGTGTTATAACTCCTAGCAATTAAGTCCCTTACATGGGAGGAGGGGGACTACAACACCCAGCAATGGGACTCCTCACATGGGGGGACTACAACACCCAGCAATGGGACTCCTCACATGCGGGAACTACAACACCCAGCAATGGGACTCCTCACTCACTCCCAGCAGGGAAGCTCCTTACATGCGAGAACTACCTTCCATGAGACTTCTCAAGTGGGAGGCTGCAACTCCTTCCATGTGAGGAACCCCATAACAGCTGCAAGTGGGCTTCTCCACACATGGGGGAACTACAGCTCCCAGCAGTGTGACTCCTCCCATGGGGGGACTGCAACTCTGTAAAGTGCGACTCCTCACATGGGGGGGGGGGGGCTACAACTCCCAGCAATGAGACTTGTACTTCCACCTCAGCTGGGGAATGGGGGATCCCATGCCCTTCTGACCACCTGGAATTTGACCAGGCAGGTCCACCTCTTCAACTGTAGGGTTACCCCAGGCTTTCTCCCCTTCCTCTGCTCTCCGGCTGTTGTGGAACTACAGATTTCAGCATGCTGGAACTCGTATTTCTGCATCACTTAGGCAAGACCATACACTGTCTCCTTCAGATCTGCAATCAGCTGTGTAGTCCAAGGGCCTCCCTGACTAAGTGAGAGTAAATTGATTGCTTAGGTCTGTCATATTGCATAGCTTTGGTAACTCTAAAGGAGATTTTACAGTTAGATTGTATAGTGTATGGCCAGTCTTGGGGTCACCATACACAATACAATCCACTTTAGATCTGTCTCCTTACCAAATAGTTTTGATAAATCTAATTCAGTCAGACAGGCCCTTGAACAACATAGTTGTTGGTAGATCTAAAGGTGCAATCAGACTGTAATGTGTATGGCCAGACTTGGAGAGCTGGAGGTGGCCAAAGACTCAGTTTTTGTGGTTATGCTCCTGGGACGTGTAGTTCTTCAGCTGGAGAGCCTCAATTATGCCTGAGATAGTCAGCATATTAAAGTAGACACTTATTAGCTAGCCCCCACCTCTCTGAATAAACACGAGGTTAAGGATTGGACAAATAAGCAATGCTTTTGTTGCTCTGTTAGGTGAGGGTGGTGTCATTGGGCATTCGCTTGGCTTCTATTAAAGCGGTGCCCCCTGAACTGTGCATGTGTGCATCCTTGGGTTTGGGACGTTCAGCTTTGCCAGGAGAAGGCCCAGTTATGTCACCAATGCCTACAGGACACAGCTAGGGTGTAAAGTAAGTCATTTTTTTTTATTGCGTTAACCTGGTGTTCTTCATTCCAGAGTGGGCAGTCTAACTAAGTGGACCTTGCATGTTCAAGCAAGGTTTGTATTTACTGGGTGGCCTGTTCCTTTCCAGTTGCTCAGCAACCAAACATGCTCTGGTGGATTTGCCTGCTGGGACATGAGGTTCTGTGGCAGCTGAAGAGCAACACGCTGCCCTAACTGGACTTGTAGTAGCATAGCTGGGGCGTCAGGGACTTCATGGGGGTCAGTAGGATCCAGGACAGTCTCATGCTCAGAATAGGACAGAATTCAGTACAGTGCTGAACCATAGGTAGATGGTCAGGAGACCAGGAGTTGGCAGCCTTTCTTCTTCTTGAGGAAAGGTTACAAACTGAAAGTGGAGACGCATTCTTTACTGACAAACTAAAAGGGGTCTTCTGCAGCATTGTGGGATTTGTGTTTGTAACTGTACTTCTGGTTCCTGTATTTTCCAAATCTAGATAGACTTTTGGGCTAGCTCCCTATTATAAAATGCACACATTAACATGTAAAATGAAAGACCGGCTCTTTCCTCAAATTCTTGTCTATGTGTAGGTGCTGGGTCAGGATGGCACAGTACATCTAATCTGGGGTCATGGTCAAATGACCATCTGCTACAGAAGCCTAACCCTTGCTGGGTTGTCATTGGCACTGATTCAAGATTAGGAGGAGTTCAAACATGGTTTAGTTCAGTGAGCTGGATTGTTGACTGACACTTGAAGAACCCGATCTTCCTCATGGATGGGTATAGCGAGTAAGAGCTCTGAATAAGGGAGACCTGCAATTTGTTGCTCAGTACATTGGTGCTAGATAATGTACCACATGCCACTCGGCATACACAAATTCCTTTGTCATTGTTGATGGTAGGAGCAGAGCGAGGGTTTCAGAAGCCAGCATGAATAGGTTTTAGAAACAGAACTACTTGCCTCACCTAGCACATAGGTCTACCAGAAACACACAGAATTTACAATAGGGGTTAACTATCATCACTTCTACCTATACAGCTAGGGTAGAGGGGGATAAACGCTGGGCTAGAAAAAAAAGTGAGAGCCACGTAGGGAGCAGACTCACCCCTTTCTCCCTTGCCTCTCTTACAACCATTTCAACTAGCTTCCGTTTTAATGGGGCTTACAGCGATTCCCCACAAGGAGAAAAGACCAGCAGTTCTGTTCCCAACATGCTCTGCACCAGGCCACTCATTCCTAAAGCACAAGGAAAGCTTGTTGGATTTCTTGAAAATTGCTTTTACCATCAGCAGAGTATCCGGTGACAGGACCAGCTACCATTCCTACCAGGACTGAACTCAGATCCCACCAATCATGGATTATTTCCGACTGCCATAGTCACCTTTCTTTTAAAACCAGCATTAACAGAGCAAGATTCAACAAAATCTTCAGAATGAGGGACTATCGATGACACAAATCTACAAGGAAAACCATACAACCTGAAATCTGTGAAATCTCTAATTAAACCCTTCCTCTGTGGAAGTGAAAAAGACAAAAAAAAGTAAGGTTCATGCAAAACGGACAAATGTCAAATAAGATAAGCTCAGGTCCATGATTATTCTACCAGGCTTTTGATTAAAAAGACCTGCATTCAATTCTCAGTACCTCGGAGGGTGATGGTGCCTCCACTATGTTCTCAGCAGATTGCTGGGAAGAAACTGTCCAGGTGGTGACCGGTCCACAGCAGTACAAGCAATGGGGATGAGAATGTGTCGTCTGTTCCCATCCAGGCATAACTACCATTAGGAATCCCAGCAGATGAACTTACTGCCTACAAGATGGTTTCTTTCCCCTAGAAATGTCGATGGGGGCTCCTGTATCTAGCTCTCAACCTGTGCTTTTAACCTGAATTTTAACTATTGGATTGCTCCCTTGCCTATACACTTTGACAAGAAATAAACCTTTTGAGGACACAGGTGAATGCGTTCTCATGCTCTCCTCTGTCCCCAAAGAGTTGAAATGAAATTTTTAGTATTTTTTTTTTTTTCCTTTGTGCGTATACGTAGTTTTTAAATCAGATTATCATAAACTCCCTACTAGCTGTCATGTTGGTGTGTAGTTATTGGCATGGCTGTTCCCAAAGCCTCTGCAATATCCATCTTCAGTCGCTTTAAACCACGTTATTGTGCAGGCTTTTGGAAATGAGCTGGTTAGCAGCTTCCAGTGTTTTGATGCATAGAGAGATTTTTAAGTTCTTCACGTGAGCTGCCTTTTTTTATATTTTCATACCACTTCATTGTTTTAATTGGGTTATCTATACTAATGTATTTATTTCATCATCCTACCTAGTGGTTTAATCCTTTTGCTGCTGCAAAAAAGGCTTATGTAATAGAGTGTATTGTAGGCCTAACGAGCAACAAAAGGAGAATGTTACTGTTTTCTGAGAGCAAGCGCAGCTTGCCATAAAATGTATAGCAAGAGTAGAGAGGAGCAAATTGATCCACTAGTCTGGGTGCTTTGGCTGAATCGGATTCTTTTTGGTGAATTGTGACCTATTAGAGATTCACCCATGAATTGTAGGACTGTTACTAGATAGGGTGAATAGGTAAATATTCAGAAGCACAGGGTTTGCCACAATGGATCAGATTTGCCCAACAGAGTTGTTAGTCTATAATGCAGAGAATTGCTTTTGGAGGTAGTCGATAAAATGCTTAAGCAGAAACGTAACATTTGCTGCTGTTTTCAAATTCCAACAAAACATTTTAAGTTTTATCCCAGTGTGTAATGTCATCTGATTGTTGCAGTTTTTTTTTTTTTTTTTTTTTTTTTTTTTCCAAAACTGTATGGGAGCAATAGTATTTCTTGATGTTTTAATCACATCAGTATATTGTACTGTATTTTTGTACCTGCAAGGCAGCTGTATCGATTTTGTCCTGCTGTATCAATCTTGTGTGGATCTCCCCCCCCCCCCCCCCCCCCCCCCCCCCCCATTTTTTTTTTCTGTTACTTGTGGCAGACTACATGCTTCAT